TTTTGTACAGCTTTCATGAATTTCCATTTCTTAAGGTGCTGCAGTGATCAAATTTAAACAGTGTGGGAGAAAAACATGGTGCAAAACACATTGATATGGAAGTTCAGAGCTTAATATATATGGTGCAAATATAAGTTTTGGTTTGGTGTCATCAGTGTGATGCAGAGTCTGCGACAGGATTTAGATTTTGTTCAACATTCAGCAGTCTGATGGCAGTGGGGAAGAAGCTGTTGCACAATCTGCTGATCCTGCATTGAATGCTGTGAAGCCTCTTCCCAGGGGGCAGCAGGGAGAACAGTCCATGGTGGGGTGGGGTGAGAGGTGATTGATGATTTCACGGGCTCTGGACACGTAGCGCTGGGATGAAATGTCTTTAATGGAGAGAAGAGGAGCCCCCATGATCCTCTTTGCTGTTCTTACTACTCTTCTCACCTTCTTCCAGTCTGAGGCGCTGCAGCCCCCACACCACACAGTGAGAAAGCTGCAGCATGCCATAGACATAATGGCAGCAGCTTCTGTGCCCTTTTGAAAAAGAGGTGGTGTTTTTACTCCAAGTGAGGGTGTCTGTGATGTGCACCCCCAGGAATTTGGTGCTGCTGACCACCTCTACAGCTGAGCTGTTGATGAGCAGTGGAGCGTGGTTAGGACGGTTCTTCCTGAAGTCCACCATGATCTCCTTCATCTTCTTCACGTTCAGGATCAGGCTGTTATCTCTGCACCACCAGCTGCTCCACATCCTCTCTGTAGTCCAGTTCGTTGTCGTCTCTGATGAGGCCCACCACCGTGGTGTCGTCTGCAAACTTCACCATGTGATTGGTGGTGAACCTGGGGACGCAGTCATGTGTCATCAGGGTGAACAGCAGGGGGCTCAGGATGCCCTGAGGGGAGCCTGTACTTAGACTGATGACATCAGAGGTGTTCCATCCGACCCGGTCTGACTGAGGTCTGTTGGTGAGGAAGTGTAGCAGCCAATAGCAGAGGGGTGTATTGAAGCCCAGCTGTTCCAGTTTGCTCATCAGATGGGGTGGGATGATGGTGTTGAAAGCTGAACTGAAGACCAGGAACAGCATCCGCACCTGGGTGTTCTTCTCCTCCAGGTGTGCCAGGCTCAGGTGGAGAGCAGCAGAGATGGCGTCCTCAGTGGAGCGGTTCTGTCGGTAGGTGAACTGGAATAACCTGGAGATGAGGGCCCGGGGCCTGGTTCCTTTCTTTTGTTGACTCTCCTCAGAGTCTTCTACAATTCAGCTATGTCAAGGCAGAGTGCCTCCTCCCCCTGGTGTTGAACGGCTTTCACTGCCTTCGAAAGAAGTTGTTCAGTTCATTTAGTAAGTCAGTGTTTGCTGACTTACAAAATGAAGGGGAGGGTGTGTTGTAGTCATGTAATCGCCTGTATGCCTTGCCACATTCTCCTGTTATTGCTGGCATCGTGGAAAACATCCTGGATCTTCTGGCTGTGGTTCTGCTTTGCTGATCTGATGGCAAGGTTCAAGTTACAGTGGGTGCTGGTTGCAAATGGGCACTTCACTCACGCTCCCCGTGTTTCATGAATTGCGTGAAAAACATGTGACTACTATAGCCACTAGGTGGCAGTCTGAGTCCATTTCGGCGTCCCATGAGTCAGGATTAGATAGGTCAATGAGCAGACTGGGAGGGGTGTCAAGTGTTGTGAGCTGAGCAGACTATTGTTCCCCAGCTTTGGCGAAGAGGGTAGGGTGAATGGTCTGCAGTTCAAAAGGTTGAGGGTTTGGTCCCAGCTGTGGCCGAGTTTATTAATCTTGCCTTAAATGTTTTTCTATTTTTTTTTAATCACTTGATGGCCTATGATATAAAAAATTGTACAATAACTTATTTAACTTGTTTATATATTTTACGGATACTAGGCTATTATGCTGTTTGACTTTCTGGCATCTTTCTTTTATTTAGATCAGCTGATGCACGTTCCACCTTTCCAAGGAATTACATTAGACCATAGGGATTATCATTCTACAGCCTCAATATCTTACTCTGATTATAATAGGCGTATTGTTATACTATTTTTGCTATTTTTATTATTATTATCATTATTATTATTATTATTATCTAGCTGGTAAAATTCTCAGTTTGATCTGGAAAAGGACGCTATGATGCCTGATACAACAAGCATGAAAGGCCCAACCCCCAGGCTTTTTGGGCACATTATGCAAGAATGTTGCTTGCTGCCCCGATGAATAGTGGCGTTTCTAAGCTGTTGTCAGAGATGGCTGTGAGCGACCCAAAAGTCAGTGAGCTAATCCGGAGTATTCCCATTTTAAATACAGTGAACCCTAGTTTGTCGCGGGGGTTACGTTCCAAAAAGAACCCGGGATAGGTGAAATCCGTGAAGTATAAACCGTTATTTTTTTTTTACAGTTATCATACAATGAAATACTCCATACAACATTGAAATCAAGGAACAAAAAGTTTTTACAGGCTCAAGCATTTGTTTAACAAATAAAAGTACGGTATAAACATTGTTAACTACTGTACTGTACTGTAAAATAATATAGTTATATATAAATGAGTAATAATTTTAATCATCAATGCGAAATGAAGAGTTGATATTGCGGGGATCAGCACCGCCCGCCGTGACGGATTGGAACGAGAGAAAATGAAAAATTATTATGAAAAAAAAATACAAAGTACAGTGGGACAAATAGTGACTGACGTGTACAGTACAGTATTTCACTGCTGTTCTGACGGAGCCGCTGCATCCTGACTCTGCTCTGTGGCGTTCTTTTCTTCTAAAGCCTGCGGTGCAGGTGTGTTTTTGAGAGAAAAACATAGTTATCGGTAGTTGCTGTCGCTCTTTTTTCTTCTGGGCCAAAAGATCCTTATAAACCGACATGCCACCATCGATTATGTTTGACAATAAAGTTTAACAATGCATGATGCAAATCCGTGAAGCAGCGAGACCGTGAAAAGTGAACCACGTTATAGCGAGGGTTCACTGTAATGTAAACTGTGGAGAGTTTCAAATACCTGGGTGTTTACGTCAATAATAAACTGGACTGGACTCATAACACCGACACTCTGTATAAAAAGGGCCGAGGGCCTTTGGAGTCAGCAGGCGCCTCCTTAAAACCTTTTATGACTCTGTGGTGGCCTCAGCCCTCCTCTACGCTGTTGTCTGCTGGGCCCCTGGCAGCTCAGAGCGGGACAGAAAGAGACTGAATAAGCTAGTGAGGAGGGCCACTTCTGTCCTGGGCTGCCTCAATATCTTACTCTGATAATAACAGGCGTATTGTTATACTATTTTTGTTATTTTTATTATTATTATCATTATTATTATTATTATTAACTGTAACGACATAGAAGATTCCTAGATGACTTGCAGAGACATAATTTTCCCTTCTCCTTTTTTCCCGTATTTATGTGAATAATTAATTGCTGTATTTTTATTTGCAGTTTACAGTTAAAATGCTAACAACTAAAAAGTTAGTCAGTCAACACACCTGGAATAGAGTAAAAATTGTGTCATTATTGTTCTTTAAAAAAAGCACATTGTTTAGATTGGAATAAAAAAAAAAAAAAAAAAAAAGTCATCCAGAAATGAATCCAAAAAAAAACCTTTAATCCAAAAAATATATGTAATATATTACAACAACTTATTTATTGGTCATCGTTTTCGTCAAGAGTGAGCACTTTTTTAAGCGGGCTTAAAATAGAATGATCTGTGAATACGTAGCGATTTTAAAAGAATGCAATTGATTAAACTCAATCTGAAAAACAAAAATGAAACACAAAACTTGTGAAAATACAAAATCTGCAAATGAATTGTCTTGACAAATAAAAACATTTGAAAATATAAAAACTGTAAAATAAAAGGAAATAAAATATGACTAAATAGGATTTCATAATTTTTTTCTATGATTAGGGACTGAAAGCCAAGGTCATAGCCTACAGTTCCACTGCATTTAGTTTTTGTCCAAGCCTTATTTTTAGGCTTAGTTTACTGCATTTCTTCATATTAGTTATGTTAGATGCTAAGCAAATAAAACCTGTACAGATCTTTGATATCATTTCTAAAACTTTGTAAAGATGTTCCACTATTTTCCCCGACTGTGCCTTGACACTGAATTTTACATGTGTGTATGTATGTATATATATATATACATATATATATATATATATATATATATATATATATATATATATATATATATATATATATATATATATATATATATATATATATATATATACTAAAGCAATACTTGTTTCAATCTTTCTAGTTAATAGGTTGGAAAATATAGGTATTAAAGTCACCTTCCTTATGTACTTATATAATGTAATTTGTGAAAAGACTAGGTGACACTTGTGGCTCTCAGCACGTTTTATTTAGCTGGTCTGACTGCAAAAGTGGCTAAGGCTGCAGACCCATAGACACTATGGCTTGGCCTTGCAGTCAAAATGGATCACTGTTGACCCCATGCTCACACCGACTTCGGTCTTACCGTTGCGGTGCGGTGGGTGCGGCGCCGCAGTGATTCCAAGTCATTAAAAAGACGTAAACCTCTCTCACCGGCTGCTGAGCTGTCCGGCTGCGGTTACCGAGACACTCCGGCGCTGCAGAAAATTCCGCAAGAAAGCTATCCTTGCGGCGTGCCGGAGCCCTCCGCAACAAGCTCTCGCAAAAATCCTTTATTTGGGCGTGTTATCGCGTGAAGTTACGTGAACTCAAGTGAACTTCTGTTAAATCTCCGGACCTGTTGCCGGAGCCGCAGAGCCGCACCGCACCGTAGTCAAAAGGGCGGTGTGAGAGGGGGTGTGCGGGAGTTGCGGTCTCTGTCGGCTCGGTAACCGCACCGGAGCCAGTGTGAGCAAGGGGTGAGGCATCGTGATTTCACTAGCTCTGGGATCCTCTCTGGCAGAAGGTAGAAAAATCAGTTTGTTGAAAATTGACATAATCAGCCTGATTGGATTATAATTTACCACACACACACACACACATTACCAACCTTGGTGATGTCATCCAGTGTCTTCTTCAGTCTAAAAACTGGAGACACGTCACCTCGTAAGAGGGCCTTGGAGGACTCCGTCCAATGGGCAAACATTTTTCCATAACTGGGAATTAAATAAGAGGTGGTGGGGAGGTAAAAGATGATAAACAATAGAATCAAAGGGGTGATTCCATCTAACCAAGAAGAGCTTTTTGTCATGATCGGGCAGGATTTCTAGCCCAGGTGCAGAACTCACGGACAAAGAGGCAGGATAAAGTCCAATGTTTATTATAAAATACACAGGTTTCCTCCTGGGAGGCAGAGAGAACAGAGCAGGTTAGGTTCTGGTACAGGACAACAGGTTCAGACTTACAGGTTCAGACAGGCAGGGCTTGCTTAACCAAGAAAAGGACAACAATACGCCTCAGAGGGAAACTCTCACCCAGCTTATATGGGGAGAGCTTAATCATGAGCTGATGGGAATCAGCTGAGCGCTGAGCACCAGCTCCCAGGAGAGGATCCACGGCGCCCTCTGGTGGGCAAGCCTCTGGATCCCAACAGGTAAAACAGAAACCCACAGAAAGGGACCCACGTCGCCCTCTGGAGGGCAAACCCCTGGATCCCAACAGTAACAGAAGCCCACAGGAAGGGATCCACGTTGCCCTCTGGAGGGCAAACCTCTGGATCCCAACACTTTTGTTCTCACCTGCCAAGTTCCAGATTCTCCATTAACATGACGCACCACCAGTTTCTCAAGTTTGGCATGTCTTTCTGAAAAATGCAGAGTAATAAACACAATATCACTAAACAGCATCCACAGATTTCTGTTTGATATCACCAAGTAGCTGTACTTACGATGGAGAAGTCATAGGGCGCATCCAGCACAGTGTACAGGGCATACTATTAACAAAAAAAAAGAAAGAAAGATTTTTTTTTTTTTTTTAAGGTTTACATTCAGCTGCATTTAACCAGACAACAGAACTATTAGTGCTCACATATAAAATCGCATTTATCAAACGTATCAGTCGACAACAGCTCATCTTCACACAATGCTAAACTGTAAGAATTTGTTTGAGCCCAGGCCGCAACTTGATGAATGCTGAGCAGTCGAGAGAGCTCTGGCTGCAAAACCGCAGTCTGTTTGTCTACAGTAAACTGAAACGAGCAGAGCATTGACCTGACTCTGTGTTGAATCTAAAGCAATGCAAATAAGAAATAACAAAAACTATGTTAACTACGTTAAGTTAAATGGTTTTATGATGCCAAGCATACTCGTTCGTGACCTTGTGCGTTTGTTTACCACCTCCAAACAATTAAACCTGTACAGTATTTCAACACACTGTAACATTCAGTAAGCGCACATGCTTTACATATAACGCTACAACGATACATTGCTGACAAGCATATGAAAGCCAGACATCTTTTGCTTCATGGTAAAAGTAAGAAATTAACTTACCATTGTTGCGGAGTCCGCGTGTTCAACAACCTTCTTCTTCATCTAACAGGTGATGTCGGTTGGGGGGAGGTGGGCGTGGCTAAATTTGTTTATTTCCAGCCCTACGGTGGAGGTGGCCTGAGACAGGCGCCTGCACCGGAACTGGTCTGACAGCTGCGGTGCGGCAGCCAGACCGTCTTGATAAATAGTGGTGTTTCAATGCTGTTTTCAGAGATGGCTTTGATCAACGCGCAAGTCAGTGAGCTGATTGGATACCGAGATACCGGTGATGAAATGACGTTGCATGAACCCCCCTCCCTCCCGAATGGACGAATGATCCACGGACCATTATTGATTCAGTTATTTGTTTTGCCAAAAAGATTAATTATAATCATTTTTCATTAAATAATAGAGATGCAGATAAATAGAAATAAACAGTTCTCAGATAAGATCGCAGGGTGTATCTATAACTGCGCCCATACAGTATGCAACAATTTTCATGAAATAAGATAATGCAGTCACTATGTTAAATTAATTCATTAACTTTATTTTAATCAAAAACATCATAAAATAGCACAATATCACACCAAGATCCCCAATAAACCTGCTTTAAAGACAGCATCTTAACAGCCTGGATTAAGGAGAAAAAAAAAAGTTCCCAAGTGCCGCCTGGTGGTTGTCAGGGTACATTGCAGTTCTTTTTGAAATAAAAAAACTGGCCTCAGGAAATACATTGTGATTCACGCAGGAATCACGCAGGAATCACGCAGGAAACCGTCCATTTCCAACTAGCACCCACTGTAGCTCTCGTTGTTCTCAGTGCCTCTTTATCACCAGGCTTGAATACTGAGTTCCGTGCTTTTAGCGATTTCTGAACCTCCTCATTCATCCAGGGTCGTTGGTTAGCTTGGGTGGTGATGTTCTTTGTGATGTTGACGACTTCAATGCATTTGTTGATGTAGGCTGACACAGTCATGGCATGCTCATCTATATTTATGTTGTTGTCATAGGTTACTGAAGCTTTGAACATGTTCCAGTCAAAGCATTCAAAACAGTCTTGGAGTTTCTCTATGGCGCCCTCACACCCCTCTCTGATTTCTTTGTCTGTCGGTTTAGTCCTGATCTGCAGGGGCCTGTATGCAGGGATAAGCATGACTGAGAGATGATCTGATTACCCGAGGTGGGGGCAGGAAGCCTTTCTGGATGCATCTTTGATGTTAGAGTAAACCAGGTCTAAAAGGTTTTCAACCAGAGTTGAAAAGTCCACATGTCCGTAAAAATGAGAAATATCAGTCTTGAAGCTAGCCTGATTAAAATCTCCAGCAATTATAATTTTGGTGGGTTGGCCACTCCTACGGAGGTCTAATGTTTTCTTCAATCATGTTTACTAGCTCTAAGTGTGGTTTGCAGTAATCCAGAACATTTAAAAATACTTTAAAAACAAAATCTAAATCTGTTTGGTTGAAAGTGTGAAAGCTCAGACATTATTAAAATTATTTAACATTATTAAAAGTACCATTTCCTATATATATATATATATATATATATATAAAACTGTAAATACAAAGTTTGAAGCTGTCAAGTGGTTAGGTTGCATGTTTTGTAGTTAAGGCTGCAAACTCCTTGAAAAAGAAGAGACCTCTTAGCAAGGTATACTTTCCAACCTAAAATCTCAATTCAGAATTTTTTCATTATTGTCTTAAATAATTTTTAAAACTTTTGTCCGAAAATTGAGCTTTTAAACATACTGTCTATAAATAGTAAGCTTCTTTGTTGGTAACAAATATTTATTAATGTTTATAAGAAAACCCTTGCAATCAGTGGTGTATTCTATGTCGGCGGTCGTATTTACCCGACCCCACCACTGCGCTGACCGTCCGGGCGGGGGGGTAAATACGATCAAGCAAAATGATACGACTGGCATAAAATCAAATACAAACAGCATAAAAATAAAACAATAAGCCGGTCCCATCTTGGTGTAATCGGAGACAATGACAGACTAAGTGTGCTCCTGATGGCCAGTCTGCTCCGTAGCTTTGTTTTGGTCGCTGTAACCGCAGAAAATCCCGTTTCACAATGATAGGATGTTATAGATAGGATGAGTCTTGACCTGAATTAACCTGTGTCAAGACGCACAGATGCAACAATTGATGTAACTGGGAGAGAATACCACAGTTTTTTATATTTTTCAAAATAAAACATCACTCAGACTCTGATCGTCGATAAATTATATATATATATATATATAAGCTGTGATTGGGGACCGCTGGTCTATGTGAATTTCCGTATAACCACTTAGCAAGCAGCAGGTCCCGCAAACACGCTGCTGCTTGAGGTGGAAAAATTTTACTTTTGCTGCTCGACAAGCCGCATCAACCAATCAGAGAAGCTGATCTGGGAGCTGGCAGGGAGACAGACACATCACTGCTTATACAGAGTGTGATCACTCAATTCAATTCAGTTTATTTATATAGCCCCAAATTCACAACACATGTCATCTCAAGGCACATTACAGTTCAACCAGATCATACAGTCAAATTGATACAAAGTCTTCTAACCTAAGGAAAACTAGTTGATTGCATTGACTCAAATACAATCCCTTACACTAAGCATGCTTGTAGCATAAGTGGAGAGGAAAAACTCCCTTTTAACAGGAAGAAACCTCCAGCAGAACCAGGTTCAGTGTGAGTGGCCATCTGCTGAGGCCCACTGGGGTTCAAGGAGACAGAAGCAGAGACACAAAAAGCAGCTGTAAAAGGCGGCCCCGTCCAGGAAACACACAGCCAGGCAGACGAGCTACGAGCCAGCTCCCATGCCAGAGGACGAAGAGAGCACATCAACTCAGCCACGGTCAGAGAAACAGGACTACACTGGAAAACAGGCCGATCTCCAGCATCTATAAACAACGGTGTTGATGGCAGCAGCCCAGCTGATGTTTCTTCCAGGATGGCGTCACAGCCAAACAGGAAAAGACGAGGCAAAGCTAATCTGAGGAAAAGCAGAGAGAGCAGAACGTTAGAGATTGAACTAACAGATTCTGCAGAATAGGAGAATAGAGATAGAATGAAGCAGAATGATGAAATAGGGGTCCCTATGTCCTCCAGCAGTCTAAACCTATAGCAGCATAACTATAGAGATAGTTCAGGATAACCTGAGCCACTCTAACTATAAGCTTTATCAAAAAGGAAAGTTTTAAGCCTAGCCTTAAAAGTAGACAGGGTGTCTGCCTCACGGACTAAAACTGGTAGTTGGTTCCACAGGAGAGGAGCCTGATAACTAAAAGATCTGCCTCCCATTCTACTTTTAGAAATTCTAGGAACCACAAGTAAACCTGCAGATTGAGAGCGAAGTGCTCTGTTAGGAACATAAGGAACAATCAGATCTCTGATATCAGATGGAGCTTGGCCATTTAAGGCTTTATATGTGAGAAGGAGGATTTTAAATTTTATTCTGGATTTAACAGGAAGCCAATGAAGAGAAGCCAGGATAGGAGAGATATGATCTCTCTTTTTAATTTTCATTAGAACTCTTGCTGCAGCATTTTGGATCAGCTGAAGGCTTTTAACTACAGTTTGTGGACTTCCTGATAGTAAAGAATTACAATAGTCCAGCCTTGAAGTAACAAATGCATGGACTAGTTTCTCAGCATCACCCCTGGACAGGAGATTTCTAATTTTTGCAATATTCCTCAGATGAAAGAAGGAAATTCTAGAATCCTCTTTGATATAGGATTTAAATGACAGGTCCTGATCAAAAACAACACCAAGATTTTTTACTTTATTATCTGAAATCAGTTTAATCCCATCCAAATGAAGTGACTGACTAATCAGCTTTTTTTTCAAAGACTGGTCCAAAGACTATAACTTCTGTTTTGTCTGCATTCAGAAGGAGAAAGTTAAGAGTCATCCAGGTTTTTATGTCTTCAAGACATGCCTGTAATCTATGTAATGGGTTAGCTTCATCTGGATTTATAGACAGATATAGCTGGGTATCATCAGCATAACAGTGAAAATTAATCCCATGCTGTCTAATAACTCTACCAATTGGGAGCATGTATAAAGTAAAGAGAATTGGTCCTAGCACTGATCCCTGTGGTACTCCACAGGTAACCACTCTGGCAGAAAGCGCTGTGGAGCCCTTTAACTGTGCGTGCAGCACCAAATCTGTATTTGAGGCAGTCACAGTGGAAGAAAACCCCAAACAACATGAATAATAATACCTAATCAATATTTTCTGATGAAAATACACAGCACTTGCTGTTTTATCTCATCATTTCATTTTGATAGCTGGGGAAAATATGGCAATATATAGTGATACTGCAATATCGTGATAATATTGTATCGTGACCCAAGTATCGCGACATGTATCGAATCGCAACACTCATTCCAATACTCACCTCTAGTCAACTGTATCAAATGCAGCACTGAGATCCAACAGAACGAGTCCATTATCTGTGGCCATGAGAATATCATTAGTGACTT